CTCCTTATAGGGGCAATTTAAAGAATTCAATTAACCTGCCACACATGTTTTTAGAATGTGGGGGTACCCGGAGAAAACCCACGCATGCACGGGGTGAACATGTAAACTCCACACAGGAAGGCCGTAGCCAGAATCAAACCTTGCACCTCCGCACTGTAATGCCGCCGTGCTAACCAATTCCGCCCCATCTTGATTATATATTTAAAAATTCATTGTGGCAGCGCACAAGCCTGTTGCCAGACCTCAGTTTTAAGGGAGGCACAAGAAATGCATGGCCGGGTTTTGTTTGGTGGGTGGGGTGTTCTAATATGACTCTAAATTAGCTACCGGGGAAAGGCTATCTGTACAGTATATGCCCTGTGATTGATTGGCACCCTTCACGGCCAGAAATTATTTTGTGCGCACGTTGTGGCTACAGTAGATTGTGGTCACACTGTAAATGTTTTGTCCAATCATGTCTGGGGTTCCGTAGTAACCAATGGAAATGATTTATGAAGACTGCCTCTCACATGATCGGTGTAGTACATGTTTTAAAATGATATATATTATTATGATTATTACACCGGTTATAATCCCCCAAGGGGAAATCCTCATTAGACGTTTCTGTATTTTTATTTTTTTTATCCTGCACACTATACAGAACCAAATCACAGACATGGAAGCATGCAATGAGAGATCATATTGTGAAAGGGGCTCACAAACACTGCCGCCCCTCTTGAGCTTTGGAGGAGGATATATGACGCGTTGCTCAATGGCACTTCCACTGTAGCCAGGAAGCAGATTAGCATCTCTCTGCAGTTGGACTTAAATTGTAACCCTGCGGTTTCAAAGCCCAAGTCCTTCCAAATGCGCAGGAGCACACACGAAAAAACCTCCAGCTTTATAGTAGAGTGCATGCGCCACTCAACTGGAGTGTGTTTGGGCTTCAGTGAGATAAAGGTGAATGAGGTTGCCAGGTCCTGAATGAAAGGTCCTCTTTTTGTATGGCAATTTTTTATTTTGAGCAAGAGTGAGAGTGGATTTTTCCTGAAATTGAATTCGCTTCATATGTTTATTTATTTATTTATTATCATCATTATTTTATGTGATCGCTCCTGTTCGCCAAGCTATAGTTTTGTTTAAAACCGAGCTTCTCCCAGCCTGCCTCCTTTGGCTTCGTTTGGAAGTTGCTGGCAGGCGGGAGCGCGCAGCGTGGTCGCGTTGCGCTCACTGGAGCAGCAGAGGCGCGTCCGCGTTGCACCACGAGCGAGATTCTGCAGCTCCCTCTTGTTTCGAAGTTCGTTCTGACCACTTCCCCGCGAGGAGAGCTCGTGAATTTTTTTTTAAAAAAAACGAAAACAAAACAAAACAAAAAAAAAAACTCGCCACTTTATTCACAATCCAGATCGGTTATTTTCTAGAGTGGCCAGTGGCAGCCCGCGCGAGGTTGGACCTCGCTTGGTCCAGCTGTCCGACGGCTGGCAAGTTGGAGAGCACGAAAGAGTTTTTTTTGCCAGTGTGAGCAAACACTTCAGAACCAAGGACAGATCCAAGCAGTAGCCTGGCAAACATCTTATTACAAGAGGGCTGGTCACCTGAAGCGGCTCGCGCTGCGTGCGCGATCACCAAGGAGAGCTGCACGCCAATAACATTTCGGGTAAGACACCACGCTTTATTTGCTTCCCTTGAAATGTTTTTTTTTTCTGCATCATGAGCCTCAATTCCCTCTCCATTTGTTTTTAATTGTTTTTGTTTTGTTTTTTTCTACATATCTGTGGAATTATCATTCCACATTGTATCCCCAACCTGTATTCAATTGTATGAACAATTTTAGATAAAAATAACCTCAGTGTGACTAATTAGTTTATGAAGCAAACTTAAAGCACTTGCTAAAAACAGCAGAAACAATCCAGGTCTGCACGGGACGTTTTATATTTGTAACGTTTGCTCCAAAATATGTTTAGACAAAATACCACTCCATGGCCTCTTCATTAGGTACACCTGGAGGTACTTGCCTGATAAACAAAAATCTGCTCTGACGGAAGTAATGCAAAATTTTTATTCACCCAACTATGGTTATTATAGTTTGTTTGTCGTTTACAGTGGTGTAAAACTGCATTGGCAATATCAATCGAAGCTGAGTTTTGTTTGTTTTTTTTTACTTCGATGCAGCTTTTGCATTAAGATCCGATCTGTATTGTGCCAGTGTACCTAATCTAGTGACCGTCGGATGTGAGATCTCCACAGTGATGGATGACAATCGCGGTTCGAGCTGTCACTCTCACTTTCTGCCTTGCTCTTCCACACGCAACGTGTTTGTTTGGCGTGAAAATCAGGGTTGAATCCAAACAAGTGGCAGTGTTGCACTGCACTTTTGTACACTTGTAATACCGCACCGATTTAAAAACATCAGACGTCAAGTGAATTGTGGACGCACAGGAGACCAGGATGAAGTACAGGCAGGTTTTCCATATTAGCTGAGAGCAGGTTGATGATTTTAAATGGAGAATCGCCCTTGCTTTATTTTAAAAACTTGCTCATTTGTCTTTTCCCATTAAATCGTTTTGGTTGATGTTGTGCACAGAACCTGGTACTCAATCTCGGTCATGAATGATAATCTTGTCGGTGTCGGTGGTGTAAACATGTGGAAGCTTTTTTTTAAATTTTCATTCCTTATACCTCACGGGAGGAGTGCCGCGTTCTGTTATTACTCGAATTCATATGTACGCACTAAATTAAATGTCACTGCCAGTGGGCATCTGTTATTCATTCAACATCAAATGATGTCATAATGATCCTTGCACATTGGAGGATTCCACCAGTGTGCACAGGCTGATAAGTATCCGATAAAGCTAATCGTAAAGGGTTCATCTTTTGAGTGATTTTCTTCAAGGAGATGATGATTATTCACATCACATCTAAAACATCCAATTAAATCTCATTTGCACCCACTGTCGACCCTATCAGCAGAATCTTCTGAAAACCAATAGGAGGGATGGATCAAACTCTGCCTTTAACAGACTTATAATACTTGCTTTTAATTATCACTGTTCGAGAGGTATTTATTTAACAATAGTGTATGTTTACTGCGTATTAATTTTCATGATTGTGAGGGACTCTTAAAAAAACTTTAGAAGTTTAATTGATCGGGAAGTATAGTGTATTTTGTGGAATTGATTGTCATCTTGAAGCGAGGCAAAATAGAGTGCCCAAACTCAACTCATTTAATTGATCGGTTGAAGTTAATTTCCGTAATTACAGAAGTTAACAGAAACGTTTCTCTTGTGATGCAGTGAAGTTCAGCGTAAGACAGACTAGGGCCAAAATAGTCATCACAACTCTACTTTGTATATAGAGGACTTTAAAAACACCTGCAGCTGCATACATGGTGCTGTACACAAAGTAAAACTCTGACTTATTCAATGACGATAACAACTATAAATTAATAACATAAAACATCCATCCATTATCTGATCGGCTTATCCGCACACAGTCATTGGGCAGTAGGTGGGGGACAACTTGAACTGGTTGCCAGCCATTCCAAACCGGTGTACCCAGACAAATCCCACGCAGGCACCGCAGGGAGAATATGCAAATTCAACACAGGAAGGCCGGAGCCAGATTCAAACCCACAACCTTTGCACTGTGAGGCTCCGGACAAGTCGACTAGCATGGCACCCTCTCTCTCTCTCTCTCTCTCTCTCTCTCTCTCTCTCGGGCAGGGGTGTCAAACTAATTTTTGTCACGGGCCACTTCGGAGTTACATCTTCCCTCGGAGGGCCTTTACGACAGTGAAACCGAATAAATGTTTGAATCACCACACTTGTACACAACAAATCAAATACATGGATTATTAGTTTTAAAATCAGTCAACTGTTTGTTTGTTGTTTGTTCAATAATTGTTTGTGAGTGTAAACAAATTATTGCAGAATCCCAACATTATTTATGACACATGACAATTTGACATTGCGGTCCAAATTTGAGCAAAGGATCATGGAAGTTGATACACATGATTTGCTTTTGCGGGCCACATTAACTGACGTGGCGGGCCGGACCTGGCCCCCGGGCCTTGAGTTTGACACCTGTGATCTAGGGCATCACGGAGGTCAACTGGTAAGCACGTCTGCCTCACAGCGCGGTGGTGCAGGTTCCAACTTCGACCTTCCTGTGTGGAGTTTGCATGTTCTGCCCGTGCCTTGCGTGGGATTTCTCCGGGTATTCCGGTTTCATTCCACATTCCCAAAACGTGCATGGCAAGATCATGGAACACTCTAAATTGTCTCTAAGTGTGAGTGTGAGTGCGAACAGTTGTTTGCCTATGTGTTGCACTGCGATTGTTAACTGGTATGGAAGACTCAGTTGTCCATAGGTGTGAATGTGAGTGCGAATGGTTGGTTGTCCTCATAAGGCTTGAGCTCACTCGCGACCCAAATGAGGACAATCTCTATAGGAAATGGATGCACGGATGCTTCACCAATGTTCACAGTACAGGTGGTTCTTGTTATGTCGGGCTCCCACTTAACATCTTCACAAAGTTACACATTGTCGTGCGCACTGTGCGACTGTACGTGCCAATCACAGCATAGCTGACAGTGACTCACACATCACACACTAGCTATATTTGGACGAGACAATGAAGAATGGTGTTATCGAGGCATCTTTTATGCAAATAGGGAATGGACATGTACTCTCTGACTGCCTCCTTACGTTTGAAGTTTCGGAGACCGAACGCACTCGTCCGCTACGTCTACATCGGCGTCCTTTTAATGACCTGATTGAACGCTGATGAGATCATTTGAAGGCTGATTGAGCCCCTGGTTATCTTTCAAATCGGAAATGCCTTTTTTTTTTTTTGATTACTTGCGTTTCATGTCCTCTATGGCGTCTGACTGCATTTGCACTTCTTAGGGCTTTGAGAGACCTCCAACCTCCATTTGGCCTAGTTTACAAAGGCTCGCCTAATTGGCTGTTCCTTATGGCGCCATTAATTCACACGGCGACCTTGCCTTTGCAACCAGAAAGCCGCCATCTGCTCCAGTGCGGAAGCGCAATTAGACTTTTTCCACGCTGGACGTGTAAGTGGCACTCTGACCTTCACTCTATTAGGTCAAACGTGTTTGACGACGCCTGCGCCTCTTTTTCTGCTTTTCGTGTTGCACCCCCCCCCCCCAGACGTAACTTCGATCACGTCTTCACACTCTCTGCGAACCTCCTCGCTGGATACAAAGCAGCGCATTCATCAATCCGCCGCTCGAGCTGCCACCCACAACCTGATGTAATATTTATCCTGAGCGGGGGAATGCAGCATTCATTAGACACTTACCTTCCTGTTGTTTTCCTGTTGGGAATGTTACAGAATATTCTTTGAGCACATTTCGGGGGCGAACTGCCTCCAAGCAAGGCGGATTGATGAAATGTCAACGGTACATTTTGGGTCATCGCCTGTTTCGGAAATATTACGTAGTATGTATGTGGAAACACTCAAAAGTTTAAAGAAAACGGAATATGAATAAATGAGCGTGTTTGGCATCACTATTATAATTTAATGAGCGCTCGTCATTATCATTCGACATCACAACAACTCAACAAATCCAAAAGCCCGCCTCTGTCGAGATCCATATTAGCATACACTGCCCGCTTCCCTGCAGTCCAACCCTCACTTATTTATTTATTTATTTTTTTGAACCCACCAAGTTACCATGGCAACCCCCCTTCAATGAGGAGCACCACCATCTATGTGTCATCTCCTAGTAAGCTGGGAAAATCCTCCTGACTTGAGAAGTGTCTGGAATATCTACAGCTTGAATGTGTCACGTCTCATGAAAAATAAATAAACATTTTTCAGGGTTGCCCTATTATTTTCTAACAGAAAGATTTGTCTACACCAGGAGAATGGCTAAAAAAACAAAACAAAATGACATACTCTTATTGAGAAAAACTAGGTTCCTTTACGTTGGTGAGCATATCATGATGTTATTATCATCATGGAAACGTAATGGAAAATAAATCCCGATAAAGACAATCGTTCAATGGCAAAATTGATACACCTGATTTTTTTTCCGTCACACAAGCGGAAAACGCGTTGACCCACTTTGAATAGCTAAAATGATAAAACACTTGCCCTTTACTTTGATCACATGTCAAGAAACATTTGGTGTCACTCGACTTTTACCGCTTTGAATGCGAGTCTGCTTAATTCACCTAATTTCCTTTGTATATTCTTCCTCTTTTCGTCTGTTCTTCCTGCTTGACTGCTCTGGACTCCAACGTGACATCACTGCCAAAAATGTCCTGCTCATCATTCGTCTCTCTTCTATTTCCACCCATATTTTCAACTGTTGGGGTCACATTAATGACCATATTAATTCTACATTTCATTTCTAGGAAGTGGTCAACATGCTTTGTCCAGTATCAAGAAACACGCACTGTCTGTAAACAACCACCTTCCTCCACTTCGATTTACCGAGCCCAACATCCTGCTCCCGCCATGCTGAGCGCCACGCTTCGCCTCAGGTCATCGGCCATTCCGGCATCTTCCTACTGGCCCCTCCACGTCCTCCTGCTGGAGCTGCTGGTACCGGGTAGCCTGCCCAGCATGTCCAGATTCCCCCCTGCGGCCAAGCGTGAGATCCTCATAGACGGCGACTTGGTGATCGGCGGCCTCTTCCCGGTGCACCACAAAGGCGAAGGGACGGAGGACTGCGGTAAAATCAACGAGGAGCGAGGGATCCAGAGACTGGAGGCCATGTTGCTGGCGCTAGACGAGATTAATTCCAGTGATCGCATCCTTCCCGGACTGCAGTTGGGGGCGCACATCCTTGACACTTGCTCAAAGGACACCTACGCTCTGGAGCAGTCCCTCGATTTTGTCAGGGCGTCCCTCACCAAGGTGCACGACCCAGGCTTCATCTGTCCGGATGGGTCCCGACCCATCCAGAATGAGGTCCCGCTGGCCATTTCGGGGGTCATCGGCGGATCCTACAGTGATGTTTCTATCCAGGTAAATGTGAGAATTCATTCATGCGTGAATTGAAGCATGCAGCAGTCCGGTATATTTATTTATGTATTTGTAGTGGATTGTACACACTCACAATACAATACAGTGAAGATGGGATGGGTGAGTACCTATTGTATACCAGGTATCCGTCACGACCCGATACATCTTTATTTTAAGGTATCGGGTAGTTGTGCAGGTTGTCGATACCACCTACAGAGAGTTAAAAAAGCTGACATTGAGGAAGTCCTCCTTGGCAGTAGTTGGCGCTAAACTGCGGCAGTTTGACACCTGCGTCAGAAAGAAAGCAAAAAGAAAGGGCGGGGTGTAGGTTTGGCGAGTCTGCGTGCGAGTGTCTGTGTGCGAGCGATGGCTGACAGCAGCTTTTCTGTGCTGTGAGTGTGATCACATTTTGGGCCCATTTTCAAAGGGAGCTGCCCATGCACTTGGCATTAAAAACAGATGCATCTTAATTTTGGTGCCGGGGCAAGTTTCGTCTCGTGTGCTGGGACCATAATGCGCTTCACTTTGGTCACACAAAGTAGACAGCGTTCAGCGTAAAAACGGACGCATCTCCATTTTTGTGCTGGGGCATTCACGTTTTGTGGAATTTGGTAGACTTCGCTGCGTGTCGCTAGGCGCTCCGGCAAATGGAGGGCATTTTCATTTACACTCCACCGGCACACCTGCTAATTTGGTGAGAAAAAGTAGATTAAAATTTAGAATACCTAAAAACTGGTCTAAAAATTAAAGCTGGTGGAGTAACATGATTTTCATGTATTTGCTCAAGATGCAGGCAGACAGAATCGATGCTCCGCAGTGGATGTGGGTGATGGATCTCATCGAATTTCATTCATAAATACAACAACAATCCCTATGCATCACTGCAGAAATCAATGAATTGAACAAATTAGAATGATTATCATCTTAAAAATATTTTAGCAGTACGCTGCACAACTATTGGGTGTGGGAATGCCACCCTGGGAGGTGTGGCGGCTGTCATTATTGTCATCGTGGATTAGCTCCCCCTTGGGTGCCCTTTTCCCTATTTGGTTTCTCTCTGTCTTGCCTTAATATTAGTCATCGGACTATGTGTGCATCTTTTGTATGTTTATATGTGTGTGTGTGTGTGTGTGTGTGTGTGTGTGTGTGTGTGTGTGTGTGTGTGTGTGTGTGTGTGTGTGTGTGTGCGTGCGTGTGTGTGCGAGCATCGGCATGCCTGTGGGGATTTGCATCTGTGTATGTTGGTTCTTCTTTTTATGTTGTAATTTTAATTGCGCAGCACTCGGAATTGCATTTTTGTGTGTGAAAAGTGCGATATATGAATACATTTTGATTGATCGATGGTTTGACCGTGTTCTTGTGTGTTGTAGTAAACACTTCCTGAAGCGGCATTACATTAATAATTGACATAACACCTGAAGTGTTGGCGACTAAGTGAGCTCGTGAATAGGCAGATGTGTTTGTGCATTTTAGTCAGTCCATTTGCCGTCGTGTATGTGGAATATGTGGATTTGTGCGCCGAGTTGATATGAATCAACTACAGACAGCTTGATAATGTGCATAGTGTACGGCGTTCTCAAATTACCGTATATAAACTGCTACAAATTGCTGATTTGCATGGCAATGTCGTCGTGTATGTGCTGGTGTGCTCAATTTTCATCTGTTGACTGTGAAGAAATACTCCAAAAGTGTCAGTTGGGGACGAGTTGCAATGTATGTATTGCTTTTCGTATTTAATTTTAGAAAAAAAAAAGGAACTTTTCAATCGACAGCTTGGATTAAAATCAAAGTCATCAGGGTGCCATTTTTCTCTTTTACTATGGAAAGCCTTTAGGGCACTGGTGTCAAAATCGAGGCCCGGGGGCCAGATTCGGCCCCCCACGTCATTTTATGTGGCCCGCGGGAGCAAATCATGTGTGTCAACTATCATGACTCTTGCTGAAATCTGTAGCGAAATGTTAAATTTTCATGGGTAAAAAATAACATTGAGATTTTGCACCGGCCCGCCGAGGGAAGCCGTAACTCCGAAGTGGCCCGCGACAAAAAATGAGATTGACACCCCTGCTTTAGGGCGAAATGTAAAGAAGAGGCCTTTGCAGAGTTGGATATCTCTATGCGGACATCCGCACCGCGTTTGGAGATTCTCAGAATGATGCCATTAAGATGGCAGATCCATTATTACGACTGGAGGAAAGGCAGGCATGTCACATTTCTACGACATGACAACCATGCCACACATGAATTATATATCGCAGTAGTCAAACCTTGCACCCACATTCCATCGATTTGAAAAGAAAAAAAAGCGCCACATCATCAATTTTATATCACTCTATGGTTGCTTTTGACATCTGGCCGCATTTAATCTTGTGTTTAAGCTCGACTGAATCTCTGTTTGATTTTCGTGCTTTGCATTAGAGCAAAAGTCAGTTGGATGGCTCCTCATCACCAAATCCATTTGTAGTTCCTTTGCCTCTCCCTGTGGAAGTTGAAAAACATTTTGGCACTGTAATTGCCAGCACCTCCACATAAAAAAATAACATATGAGAGGAGGAAGCAACGATTCTTTGAATAAGGCTGTGACGCCGCCGCCTGATTTAAATCGTTCAGTCTTGAATCACTTCTGGGCCCGAGTCCAGCATTTCTGTATTGATGCTAAATGCTGAGCATATTCATGAGTGTGTCTCCAAAAGACCGCCATTGAAAGTCACGGGCACAATCGCGACCTCCTTTGCTCGCTGTTATGCCGACGCCTCTGATAAAAGAACAGCATGCTGGCGCCACTTTTCTGCCAAAGTGCAAGAGACCACCCAGGACCAAAATGAAGCTCATAACGCCACTGTCTCAACGCTCAACTGTCTGTTTTGATGCAAACTGTGAATGGAGCCAAAAGTGTAACCAGGGAATTTACATACTCCACTTGATGAAAATTCTGGTTGAACTTCAAATGCATTATAACTTTGTCATTTAACTTCCAACTGTTCAATGCATCAATACTTTTTTTTGCGCAGTTTGTTCTCTGTTCACAACAGTTGTTTGATCCATGGGAAATTCCAAGGGTGTTGACTTTTTTTGCGGATTTCAGTCTGTCTGTATCTCTGCTGCAACCTGATGATGACACTGCGGCATGCTAAGCTCAGCGGTCACTTCCTAAAATCATGAAGATGTTCTGTTGAACATTTGGGTCTCAGGGTGTCAACATTTAAACAATGTGGTGAAGCGGACTGTTTCAAAACGGATTCTAATTGAACCAGGAAATGGATTGAGGCATTCATGGATCAAACCCCTGTTATGAAATTTGCCATTTGCCATTCTGAAGCAATCATTTAAGTCCTATTTTCAATAAGAGCAAAAGACAGCCCAACGGTAAGTACAGTTATATCCGTGTAAAAATGTTAATTTCTCATTATACTAACAACCCATTTCAGTCTTACGGTAAAGACCTGCGCGTTTATTTAAATTGGGACACTCAAAAAAAATTCCAAACATATGTCAGACATGACACCATTTAATGTTTCTGCTATTGTGTGAATGCAAAATGGCTGCCACATCCTGGCACTTCAGATCAGATCAAACGTGTTCGAGAATCGAGAAAAATCCAATTTAAAAATCATGAAATGTCTTTTGGAACACATAAAAGACATTTTAAAGCGTGATAAAGATGACTTTTTTTTACATATATATATATACATATACATACAAATTATGGCGCATATATGCAAAGAGACGTTTATATGAATTTCTTTCCCAAAATTGCAGGTTTACATAGTCTCTCTAAAGGGTACGAGTGCCTGCCAAGAATGATCCTCATAAACTTAGGGGAAGTGTCTATTCTTGCCATCTGTGAGATTTCTCCGTTGGCAAGCAGCAAAAGCATCCACCTGTGTGTGAGAAAGAAACCTGATGGAAGACAAGCCAGTCTCTCGTGAGCCTGACAAGGATTCTCTCATAATTAAACACTTTCATCATCTTTTTTTTTTTTTTTTGTCTTCCCTGTCTAGTCTTAACTGAATATAAAGAAGCAGTCGGAACCATCTGGTGGAGGATGGAATTAGCCTTGAATACTGATGTTCAGTTACACTGCTTGTCTGAACGCCCAATTCGGATTTCGTGCCAATATTCAGTTTCTACAACAACAGAAGAACCTCCAGTGGAAGTGCAATGCCTCTTAGGTTGCTCAGTTTTGAAATGTGATCAAAAGCTACATAAACGCACGCACACACACACACACACACACACACACACAAACTGTCGAACCACTGGCATACATTAGACAGGGGTGGCCAAACTTTTGACCTCAAGTATACATTTCATTATAAAAACGAACAGATGGGCCACGTTACTCGTTACTCGTAGATAGGGTGATTGAAAAAAAAACAACACCAGCACCACCACCAAAAACAACAACAAAAAAAAAAAAACTTAAAATGTGCATGTTAAACATGCCAAGTAGGGAAAACTGGGGCTTGATGTCACACTTTTTGAAAGACTTATATGTATTTCTTAACTACGAGGGATGAAATACTGTATGTAATTTTCACATTACGGTAGTGTTGTTTTTCTTTTTAACCATGAAAGTGAACACTGAACTGCACCAAAGAAAAAAATCCTTGAAATAGGTGCCCAATCTTTGTTAAATGAGAAATAGGCATTTATATATTTCCCACTGGTGGCTATTTGACATCGACATAGTTTCGGTAAAGCTCCTGAAATTCAACTGCTCCTGTAAGTGCACCGCAAGTGATTGACACCTCGTCAGTTACGCCTTCTGTTTCTAATTGTCTGATTTTTCCTCGGGTACGTGGTTTCCTTAAAAAGGATAATGAGGCCCGAGAGGGCTGATTTTTATTTTTTCACATGGATCATTTCACTCATATACTACTGTCATGTTATACTGACGGTTGGAACAAATATGACAGAAAGTGATTCTGAAAAAAAATTCGGAAAATTCCAAATCTCCTCTCGAAATATTTTCAATAATAATAATAATAATAATAATAATAATA